TATTTTCAGTTAACCTTAACCATTTTTTTGGTAAGGTCATTACGACTGACTGCTGGTTCAGCTCTCTGAACTGGTTTATGATTCTAAATCAAACGTGGAGCAAAAAAATAACAAATAGAACCTTGCATCAATCCTTCTCAGTAATTAATGGATTAGCCTCATTATTATGAGTATTGCACATTTTATTAGTCTTATTCACCAGGAAAGCTTGAATGGGCTTCGAGTGGGAGCAAGAGTAATCTTGCAAAAAGCAGAGCCAGTATAATTTGAGCAAAATGATTTGAGGGAAATGAGATGCATACACTTCCCAATTTTTTTTTTTGGAGGTGGAATAGTTGTTACTCATAGTTTGGGTTTCTGGCCCAACTTTACAAATCAATGCGCCATTAAGATAGAAATCTTCATTGTTATAATGCATTGTAACAATGATCAATATTACGCCTCGATGAATCTAGGGATATGGTTCAACCATCTTTTTTCACCCAATTGGCCAGGGAGCTGGTTAAAGGCACTGATCCATCCAAAACTCACCATACCACAAAATTATGTTTTCAGCTTAGCCCACACTGCTGATTGCATGATCATACAGATGGCTGCAAAGAAAAGGGCTGGATTACTACTGCTGTGATTTAGGCTACTGTGGAATCACACTGCAGGGTTTTAGTGTCAGAGGTCTCTGCACTGCACGGTGACAGGAGCTGGAGTCCCTTGCTGAGCCAGCAAACAGTGACATGATTGACAGTACTGATGGTCCTGATGAGAAATTTGTACTTCTGGGAGGAAAGTCAGTGTGATATCACTTACAAGAAGAAATTACTTTTTTCTTGAGTTTTCTGAAGCAGTCCTTGTGTTGTAATGAAGATCTTCAGTCTGATTGCCTTCTTTATGGTATATGAGATCTCATTTCTGTGATTCATGAATTTTTAACCTTTACTTGACTTTTTTCCTGCTCTCCATATCCAGTAACTTTGTTTTTTTAATTTGACACAGTTTTCTTAAAGTTAAATATAAAATGGTCTGGTTTTACAGGGGCTTAATTTTCAGAAGTTGTGTTCTTAAAAAAAAAAAGGCATTTTATTCTACAGCTAAATGTATTATTTCATGGCTTGTGCACGGTTGCCAGTGATACCAAGGACAGAGTCTCATCTGCATGACTATTAAATCACTTTAAAACACAGTCAAATTAACTTTGCTTTCTTCCTTTCAAATTACAAAATAACTTGTACAGCTGTAACAGGAAGGACAACTTGGTTCTTCAGTTAAATCTTGTTGCTGAAGTGGGTCAGCTCATTTTTCCAGTAATACTGTAGATAGTAGAGATGAAAATATTTTTAAAGTTCATATAGTAAAAACTTGGATACTAGAAATAGCATATTTAATCAGAAGCACATGTATTAAGGAAAGAGTTGATTTTTTATAATATTCTTTGGAGTTAATTCCTCCAGCAGAGGAATTCGTCTGCTTGATAAGCTCAACAGACAGGCATGTGCAGAACCCTTGATACTCCCCTTAACTCTGATCAAGGTTTAGAAGGGCTGTCTGGCTTGTTCCCATTTATTGACAGCTGAGGAATGGGTTTGCATGTTTCCTTCCTAGAGCTTCTCATTTAGCCTTACTCTTAGGTGATATGGGTTTTCTCTTGCATGTGCTGTACGTTTGTTTGTCTCCTGATCTTGCAGCTCCATGTGTCTTACTCTACAATAGCACAGAAATAAGAACTGGAATATCCACTTTAAGATTTGGTCCTACATTGGTATATGAATTTTCTTTCCCTCCCCTCACATTGCTGCTTTCGGCCATCTGTGTGAGCGTGTCCCTGATAAATGTCAGCAATAAGTTGTCAGCATTTTCTTCAGGGGGTGGGGAGGGTTACAGAAGTGCTCTCTTGGAGTATTTCCCTAGATGTTATTGAAAAGATTTGTGGACAACTGATGTTCTTTTCATGATAACTCAGCACTGGATCCAAGATGACATATTCTGCCTTGTATAAAGTTGCTTGAATATATTTTTAATTATTTTTAAAATAGCTTGGTAGTAACTAGCAAGAAAATAATAAAGTCTCTGTAATGCATACATAGATAAAACCAAATTAGGAGAGCATCAAAAAAATGCACAAGGGATACTTTGCTTCTATCTTTGGTATGCACCAATTCCTACTTATCACGCTTGCAACTTTGAGACCTGGCCCTGTACAAAATGTGCCACATAGCTGCGATGCATAGATGTGCACACATCACATTCCTCACTCTTGTACTAAAAATGTACTAAAATTAACCTTAATTCCGACCTCAGTGACATCCATGTAGAGGCCTGTTAGAGGCTGCTGTATTTGTAGTCTGTTATGCCATAGACTCTCTCACAAGTCAACATGTAAAGTAGATATAACAACTCACTTTTCCCATCTAAAATGTTTTGACATATAGGTTTATTCATTTAGAAGTGTCACTTCAAGTTGATGGTAGCTCATTATATCTTCTCGTAAAACAAGCTGCAGGGTAAATTAGTGCTCGCACAGTATGGATCTGCCAGCACAGGCGTGCTGGTCAGAAACCTCATCTCTTGCTATTGTGTAACCAACTACATCAGCAGAAAACTGTACCATAGAGAGGTCTTTAGCTTGATCTGATTAAAACCCAAGATTTTCATCTGTCAGTCTTGAAGGATTTTACAGTAAAAGCAAGTGTTGTCCTGACTCATCCTAGGGAAAATTAATTTTCATTAATTTCATTAACCAGGTTTGATTAAGTCCTCATGATAGACACACACTCCAGGTGTTTGAAGAAATGGGTCCCAGTGATTGACTGTATTTATTAACAGACAGGGATCACTCGCACTGAGAACTGTTCTGAATCTGACTTAAAGTTATGCTATAAATTGCTAAAATACAGTCTGTCTTTAAAATGCTGCCATTGTTGGTTTTTTGTTGTTCTGACTTCTAAGAGTTGATTGAAGAATATAAATATTCATGTGTTTTATCACACTGAGCACAGGGAACCCTTCACTTGATAGTCTTTTGATGCTACTGTAATAAATAGAATCATTAATGAAGTATCAGCGTCCATGTGCGGTCTTTCTCACTGCTTCCATAACGCTGCTAGAAGACTGGTGTGCTCTTTGCCTAGCTCCTTTATCTCTAGGATATGCAAGTAAGCGAAATCACATTTGAGAAGCATTTCAAAGTATTTTTGTGTAGTGACCCTTAATACGTATAATCTGACTTTTTTAAAACAGCCTTTAAACTGTTATCCCTTCCTTCCCCCCCTTAAGCGTACAGCCTGCATTTCCATGTGCAAATAGACATTTTGCTGTAGAGTTAGCCCCAGAGGGCTAAATGTGCATACTGTTGTGCATGGCTGTAGTTCGCTTGACACTTTTTGAAACGTTGGTATCTGCCTGTCTGCTTTAGCAGGACTATTCTAGGATGCTAGTCTTCTTATGGGATGAAGCAGTGACCTTTCCACCACCTTAATATCTCTCTCTACTTTTATACGGCTTGGTTGACAAGGCAAGTGTCTTTCTGCTTTGCATTCAGTTTTATCTTTCAAGTTTTTGGAGACTTTTTTTTTGCCCTACTCTTTGCAAGGAAGTAAGAAGTGTGACAGGAAGGTGTGATTTTTAATTTACACCACAGTTCTCAACAAATAATGACTTTTCACACCCCGTTATTGCTGCTTAGCCTGGGGGAGGAGTTGCACGGCTACTGTTGTCATATCAAATAAATCCACTCATGTAATTCAAAAAGACGTTCCTCTTAAACTTAACCCTTTTAAGTTGCTGAAGTCTACTGGCGCAAGAGCATAAACTGAAGTGCATCTATTTTGGGGGTCTCCGCTGCTGAAGGATGAAAACGGAAATGTTTTTATTCGAGGATGGTGCTCATTTTTCTTATAGTGCACTAGACCAGATCCTGATGAGGCTTGTGTGGGTGAATCCTCATGTTAGCTTAGAGTTCACTGCAGGCTCTGGGTATGCGCGTGGATGTATTTTAAGAATGGAAATGTTTGGCCAACGGTGCCAGACACTGGCGTTCTCATCTGAAAAACCTGCTCGAGTAATTTCCTCTAATGTCGTTAGCTGTGGATTGCAAGCCTGCTCCTGGAGCCCTTGGTGCTCCTTTATGTCGCAGAGCTAAAACACATTAATAGGAAAATCACCCTCGGAAGGAGTTTTCTGCTGTCAAGGAGCTGGCAGAGCAGGACAAGCTTTCCCTTTGTAAGTTACCCTCTGCCGAGGAGGCTGCTGTTGATTTTGGCATGCGGTCGAACCGCCCGCCGCCCTTCAGGCCAGTCGGGGCGGGGGCACACACGGTCCCTGCTGGGCCCAGGCCTGGGGGTCGGGGACCCGCTCCTGGCGCTCCTCCGGCCCAGGCCGGCCGCTGCAGCTTCCCCGGCAGGGCAGGAGCCTGAGGGATGGCACTAGCGAAAACCGGGGGGACTAGTCCTCTCCCCTCCCTTTTCCAGGAGCTTTATTGCGCCTAATTGGTGGTAATTGAGGGTTGAGTATTTGCTCGAGTACCTGCTTGGCGGTGCAGAGAGGGTTAAGGTGCTTGATTTACGATAAACATGTATGTGACAGACTTTTATCTGATGGTGGGTTGGTTGGTTTGGGTGGTTTGTTTTGTTTTTTTTTTCTTTTCTGTAAAATGTCAGCCGTTTCCTGATGAGCGAGCGTGGTGGTGGTGAATTTCACACCTTTTTTCTTCTCTGTGTGGAAACCTGGGTGTTAATGGTACTGGAGCAGGTCGTGTTTTATAAGGAATGAGGCTGTCTCTTAGAGTGGAGGGAAAGCAGGAAAGGGAGAGGAGGTGAAGAAGGGGAGCCGAGGAAACTGCCACTTGCAACAGGCATTAGTTGGATTATTTTGCACTATGTTTATTTGGAGCATGTAAATGTAACGTTATTTGCTGAGTGTATTTTTTTCCTATGAAATGTTGGAGTTCAGTATGAAAATAATCCTCTCTCTTAATTTCACAGCAGAATTTAGCATTGCAACACCTAAGGATGGAAAGTTGGTCAGTTGATCAAGTCTGCAACTGGTTGAGACAGAGAAATTTAGGAGAACTAGTTCCTAAGTTTCGTGGTAAGCATTTTTGTTGTTTGGGAGGGAGGTGGTGGTGGTGTGTGGTGGTGTTTGGTGTTTCTTTCTGTGCCTTTCATTGGCACTGCCTACCTTGTTTTGGGGGCATGTATATTTATGCAAACTTCAGGCTTTTATAGAAATTTATTAGGGTGAGAACTGACATAGATCTAATAAATCAGAATAAGTGTGCAGCTTTATTATGAAGTCTCTGAGAAATGCTGGTGAGTGAGTTTAAGCCTGTATATAAATAGATACACCTTCTCAAATCAGAGCTGGCAGTTTAACAGGCTTGTCAGGGCCTATTTTATATTGTATAAATCTTTTTAAATAATGCAACTGAAGTGTGTAAATGTTTTGTGCCTAAGTATATAAACACTCCACAAAAGAGTGCATGAGGAACTGTTATGTGAACAGGCTATTTGTTGCGTGCTCGCTTAAAAAGCTTGCTTTCCTTCATTAACTAACAGTCTAAGCAAAGCCTGATTTAAAGCATTAAAACAGTCAGCTCACTGCTTCTGGATGTTTCAGGCTTGGCTTTTTGTCAGGGGAAGGTATGTGGCCAGTGACTAGAACTTCTGTCACTGCTTGGGAAAGAACAGTAGATAAAACATCATCTTTTTAGCAGATGAAGACTGTCAGCAGTAGAAAGCATCCTTGCCTTTGACCTGTCCTCCATCATCACGTTTTTAGGCACATAGAATGTTACTGTAACTATTAAGTTATTTTACAGTAATTCTTTAAACCCCTTCAATCTGCAGAAGAAGAAGTAAGTGGAGCAGCTCTGCTGGCTCTTAATGATCGTATGGTGCAGCAGCTGGTGAAGAAGATTGGGCACCAGGCAGTGCTGATGGACCTGATTAATAAATACCAGCAACAAAAAAGTGGGCTAGAATCCCTTACATACTGCTGTGAAACAGCTTCTCCAAAATTTCCAGAAGTAATCAGTGGGTGAGTTTGTGCATGGCACAGAAAATATCAGTCTGGGTATAGTTGTATTCTTTTCATAGCATTGTAAAACTGGCATTTATTAGCTCTATAGCTGTAAGCTGTAACTATTTTTTAAACTTCAGATATCTCTAACAGCATGTCAAATGCAAAATAAGGTTATTACCTCGTGGTTTTAAGCAAGGCATCAACATTCCTGAACACCACCATTAATTAATTTAAGCTGCTCTTCGTTTCCAGTTCTAGGACCTAGTTTTCATTTGGATGAAGCATCATCAAACCTTCACTGTAGCTAAAATTTTCTGTATTTGTGGTATTAAGCTTTTGAAGCATGCACTTTCAAATGTTTGCAAGTCTTGGAGTAAAATCATAATTTAGCCAAAGATAGCGTTTGTGTCACAGGTATATTTAAATTCAGTCTCTCAAAGGAAGCTCTGAATTTGAGCTAGATGTAAGCGTTTAATAATCCCACTGTGTGGAACTAGATGTATTTTTAAAAAACTAATTCCACAAAGATTGTCTTCACTGAGTGTGTTCTGGCTCTTTGTTGAGCAGGTTTTCTTTTCTTGTTTGTTTGCTTGGTGTTTCTTTTGGGGGGGAGGGCAGATGTTGCTTGTTTGTGGGTTTTTTTGGTCAGGTGTTTTGGTGTGGTTGGGGGGTTTGGTGTTGGTTGGTTTGGTTTGGTTCAGTTCCCCCCCCTCCCTCCATTCTGATCTATTGTAAGTCTTGCAGGATTATTTTTTGTGGATGTCTTGACTGAGGAGAGACATCCTGAGCTCTCAGAGTGGTCTCTTCTAAGCCCAAGAATCCTGGCAGTAGAGAATAGCTTGCCATGGATGCAAAATGCTATTTTTGAAGGAAAGGTCTCTAGCACTATGCCTGCATTGGCACACAGTATCAGCGAGCTGTAGAGCATTCTTTGTAGCATTTGCCTTCATCTAAACGGAGTCCAGGTTGTGCACTCTGAGATGACTTCACAGTGCAAACCAAAGCATGGTAAATGGTGATGATTGGGTTATTTCCAACCAAATTGCACTCATGAGCAGAACTAAACTGCTCATGTAGACACATCCTCTTGTCCTTATAGAAGTGTTTATGAAGCGCCTTGGGTTTCATCGTTGGAGGGAAGGGAGGTGCAGGAAGAAGACAATGTCACCACACATATGGTTTGTCACAGACCTGAAGTATGTGCTCACAGCTAGTCTTGGTTCTCTGCACCAGGGTCCTGCCTCACCTGATTTATAGGAAGCTCACTCTTTGGAGGCAGAGCAGGTGTCTGCTGTGAAGAAGACTACTGTATGTGGGCCCTGTACTTCATCCAAAGCGTGGAAGATGCTCAGGGGATATCAGGAGAAGAAAACCTGTTCTTAGGTTTAGGGCAGTTTGCATGTTGCTTTGGATATTTAGATTTCATCCTTGACTTTGTCAGGGATGTTTGGCTGGACTGCGTCTCAGATGTGACTGTTCCCTGTGTACTTCTCAAGTCCTGCAAGTCAGGCCTTAAGGTCTCACAAAGATCATGCAGTTGCAGTAGTGTGAGGGTGCAGCCTTTCTGTGAAGTTCTGCAGATTCCAAAAAAATCAAATGCTGAAAATCTCAAATATTAGTAAATATAAATTTACCTTAAAATCTTTCCCTACCTAGTCATCTTGCCTGGATAATAAGATTCTGGTATTCCTCAATTTACAGGGAAGTTAGGTAAATAAGCTGCTATTTCTGAAACATTTTGTGTGTCAGAGTCAAGGACCACAAATAGAACTCAGGCACATTTAAGAAATGCATTTAGTCATGTATTTTAGGATGAGTAAAAAATCAAGGTATTCTGTACAGTTTGGGGTGTAGAATGATGAAAAGCTCCTGCAGTAAAAATAGTATTTTATTATAAAACTAAAAGCTGTATGCTCTTATTCAGGTAGCTGTAACTGTTACTTCTTAACTCTGGAGTGCTTTGTGATGTAGTTGGAAATTATTTTTTCTGTTCGGTACATCTTGAACAAAGTCCTCTAAGAGTAGAAAGATCTAACTCAGGGACTCATGACTAGAATAAAGTGTATGAGACACTCTTTTGAAGTAGTGTAATAAAGTTATTTTCTTGGTAAGCTACTTTGACACAGAGGAACAGAGTATGTGACAAAACCAAAAATTCAAAGATCCACAATATATGTGAAGTGAACTCACATTTTCTCTGTTGCTCAGCGATGTTAGGCTGAACTGCAGCCTTGTTCACATGAGCAAAGTCACCGCACTGAGGTTCACTGTTAGTAGCATCTGTAGCTGAGTCTGTGGTCCCACAGCGGCAGGGGACAGCTGTGAAAACTGAGTCTACGTGTTCCTAGCCCTTCTCCTGCGGTGCTTGAGCCCAGGTGAAAACCAACCACCTTTTCTGTTTTGCAGAATAATTTCTCAGTCAGGCCAGTTCCCAGAACCAGCTCACCCTGCGAGTACCAGGGCCAGGGTGGAGAAGGCATCGCTCAGCCACAGGGCAGGGGAGAAAGCAGTACCATAGCCATCTTCTGGGTCAGCCGAAACTGCTGTGGAGCTTCCAAGAGCTGTCAGCAGTATTTCTCTGTTGTATTTCTCACATGAATGCTATCCCCAGTGCTTGTTGGTGCACTCCTGGCTGGCCACCTCTTTATCCCGGTGCCCTCAGCACACCTTCTAACCACGTGTGAATTGTGCTCTGTTCACCTCTCTGCTAGGAACAGAAATAAAGTGGCTGGACATGGAGTTCTGGGTATGGTAGGTGAATACGTTCTTTGTGGAAGTACTGGACTTGTGAAAGGACGCCACATGTGACTGACTTACAGTTTGGATTGGGACACGCAAATAGCGTCTTGTGTCTGTTGCTGGTAAGGTGGAAGCGCTCTGGGTCATGCAGTAGAAACTGTGTTTATATGCATATGAGGAGTTACCAGGTAAACATCAAGATGCTTTCCAATTCCAAAAGGGATTGTTTCTAGGAGCCATGTAGAGAACATGCTGGATTTTTTTTCTGGTGTTAACTGGATGCCTGAAAAAGATGTGTTGATTCATGGAAAAGGGGAAACTCCCCTTATAAACGTGGCAAATGTTAACATCACTTCTAATAATAACCTTTCATGTGCGAGTGCAGCTGAGGCTTGAACAGTTTATAAAGAATCTTTGGAGTTCAGAGGCTCTGAAGAGATGAGGTACAGGAAGGAATCTAACACACCCCTCACCCCCTGCAAAAAAAAAAAAAAAAAGTTGATGACTGCCATGAATTTTTGGCAGCATAACAGTAGCCCCTATCTTACCTCTGCCTTTCCCCAGTGCAGGGTAAAACTGTTGATGTTGGCTTCTACCAACAAAAGGAGAAGGAGAAATAACAGGGAGATGAGGAGGGAGAGAGGTGGACACAAAGGTTAAATGGAAAGCAGTGGTCTGGAGTAGCACATAGACAGCGAGGTGGGTATCTGGAGTTTTTGGCTGTAGTGACAGGCTAGAGTTGGAGCAAATAACCAGGAACAGTGTGATGTGAGACCAGGTGGCATTTGGGGATCTTCTAGAGTGGTTGGAGTAATGCAAAGCTGACTTGAAGGTTCAACATGTACTTAACCTTTAGAAAAAAACAAGTGTTCAAGGAACACTTGTGGAATAGAAACTGCCTTACAATTCTGTGTAAATCATTCTTTCGCACCACCCCTTGCATACTGTAATGGTTAGTTATTCCCAGTGATAAGGAGATGCCAGGCTATGAAGATGGCAGTTATCCTGCAACCCCGAGAAGGTTTATTTTCTTGGGTTTTGTAACTGTGTAGTAATTAGACTATCACTAGGCAGTGTTATTTACGGTTTTCCTTTTAACTTGTCAGAGTTTGATAATTGAACTGGGAGATTGATTAAGAGACATCAGCATCATATAAAATTATGACTATTCAATATGTTAATTTTTATCCTTCTCTATTTCTGCCACTGGTATACCTCTTTTCTATAAGCTGCACAAAGCCTGATGGTGATTTTTTTTTTTTTTTTTTTTTTCTCTCCTTTCAGGGCTACTAGCAGACAAATCTTAAATTCTTCTGGTCCTGTGGAGCAGAAAAAATATCTGTGCTCAACTGAAAATGAAGAAGGACTAATTGATCACAGAGTGCTAAAGCAAAAGTGAGTTATAATGCATTTACTAAATTTTTCTTACCTTTTGAAAATGACATAAACACTTCTTTTTGCTTTGTTAAGACTAAACAGATACTTTCTAAAAAATGATCCTAATTATTGAAGGCCAGGTTCAGGTATAGCCAGGTATATTTAGAAAACAGCAGGAGCAGAAATTTATTAGGATTTTGACTGAATGCAATAGTCTAATGGTGTTTTTTCTGACCTCCATCCTCAGTCCTTGCTCACTGTCTTGTATGTTGCCTTATGCAGAGGGCAAGATACAGGTTTGTCTTTTACTAGTTTTTAAAAATCCTTTTTTTACAGATGTGTTTTCAATAGCAATCTGGTAAATTAATCATTACAGCGTGGAATATGCCTATAAAAAAATTGTGTGCTTGAGGCACCTTAAATATGGCACTTGGAAAGGTAGGCATGCTGATTCCATTTGCACGCTCATTTTCCTTGGGTGTCAAAATAAGTCTTCCTAAAAACTGGAGGCAAGACATATGTGTTTTTTTCTTTTTTCTTTTTTTTTCTTCTTATGCATGCTTTTCTACTTTTGAGATGGGCAGTGAGTGTTGGAAGAGTCCTGTTCCTCTCTCAAGGCAATTGTTTTCTTGTTTGTGAAACTTTTTGTCCGTTCATTATCCCCCTTTATTCCCACCTGCTATAATTACCACCATTCTCCCCCATAGATGTGACTGATGGCTTCACCGTTCCGAGATAAGGGGACATCTTCCTATAAAAATATCTATTTTTATCACTTTAAAAAAGTAAGATGGAGTTAGGGATAAAGCTGTCTGGGAACATGGTAGAGGGCTTAGCGAATCACATAGTTAATGTTTTTAAAATGAAGTCCTGCTAAAAGCTTCAAAGGAGCAAAAAAA